TGGATTTGAACTTCCATAGATGTAAGGCCTTTGGGTTAGCAGGGCAACTCCCTATGGATTATGCCACCAGAATTCCTGCTAGCAACTGCTAGCATACACTAAATAGCTTACACCAATAGAAATCCATTTGATTAGAATTATGCAAGAAATGCTTTACTCATTTCAAATCCTTGGAATTTTCCCCACTCAGAAAAACAATTACACAATATTGAAAGTCTAGTATCAAGAAGGGAAGTGCTGGCAGTTCAGTCCATTGTGAGTTACTCTGCTAACCTCAGAGCAACAACGTTCTGGCAGTTGAAATCCAACAATGGCTCCTTGGGAGAAAGATAGGAAATGTCCCCTGTGTGATTTTCAGCCTTGGAAACCCAAAGAGATTTATTTAGACTTATGGCAGTGAGTTTAGGTATCAAGAAATCTGTTGTTGTTGTTGTTGTTGTTGTTGTTGTTGTTGTTGTTGTTGTTAATTGCCATTGAGTCGAGCATGACCTAATTCCTTTCTATAACTGTTGTCATTTCTCCAAGTTCATACAGTTTCCAGAGGCATGTTTAGGAAGTGGATGCCACTCCTGCTTCCACACTCTGTTTTACAGCTGGGAGCTCAACCAAACACTATCCACATTGGGAAACCATTATGGCACTTGACACCCCAGTGGCACAAGGTTTAGCATCACAGCAAACTCAGATTACCTCAGTTCAGCAAATTGACAAAGAGTGATATACAAAGTAGAAGAATGTTCCCCCAAAATTTAACAACTAGTCTCACTTAGCAGTGGTTAAGTGTCAGGTTGAATATGATTCACAGTGAACCTGTGGACAAAAGACCTAAACTATGTTTTATAATTAACATCATTTCTTTATGGTGATAGAGTTTATAGAGTTTCCAGAGGCATCTGGTTTAGGAAGTAGATGCCACTCCTGCTTCCAAACCTGAATCAATCTGGAAGCTCCTCCAAACACTGAAATCTAGCAGCCACTGTTTAATATGTCATTTTTCTTGATTCATTCATACAACGTTATGCTTTGCTTTGTGGAGAGTTGGGTGTATATTGATTCATATATGTTTGTGTATATATGTACTGTTTTCCTTTGAATCTTATTAGATAGTACATAAAGGTTACTATATAGTTATGCTCTTCAGTTAAACTAATATGTAACACTACATTTTTTATAAAAATCTTTAGTGAGTAAGACAAATTTTTTATAATCCAAATATATTTATACTAATATAGAATTACCATTCTATACTTACCTGGCAGGGGAGATACCATGATCAAGAATTAACCATTCTAAGTGTTCTTAACTTTGTTGTTGTTGTTGTTGTTCTGTACTCTCAAGTCATCTGCAACTCATATTGACCCTCTGCAATAGACCTAAACTCTGCACTACCCCGTGCCAATCTTATTGTCTCTGACCTACCTACCCCCATTACCCCAGTCACTGAATCAGTCCATCTCATCAAGGATCTTCCTCTCTTGCCCTGTCCCTCCACCCTCAAGCATGTTGTCCCTCTCCAAGGACTGGTTCCTCCTTGCAACATGCCCAAAGTATGTTAGACAAAGCTTCAGAATCCTTGACTCCAAGGAGCAGCCTCTCTAGGATGGACCTGTTTGTTCTCCTGGCAGTCCACGGTATATTCAATACTCTTCTCCAGCACCACAGCTCAAAAGCATCAATTCCTCTTCTACCATCCCTAGTCATTGTCCAGCTTTCTGATGAATAGCAAGTAACTACAAAGACCATGGCTTGTATCAGGCGCACCTTAGTCTCTAGACTGACATCACTGCTCTTCAGTACTTTGGAGAGGTCTCTAACAGCAGATTTCCCCAGTGCAATTTGTCTTTTAATTTCCTGGCTGCTGGTATCAAGAGTGTTGATAGTAGAGTCAAGCAAACTAACTTTAAGGAAGAAATTCTATGAGGTGTCTTCATTGTCTTTTAAAATAGGATTCACTTCTGTGCTCTTTAGTGGTGTAATCTGTAGGGAATTGTGCGGCCACCCCGAAGCTGGTGTCCCTCTGGTGGCTTGAATCCACCAGCAGCCTCTTGGGGGAAGGATGAACAGTCTCCCCCTGTGCAACTGACAGGCTCCCAAAACTCACGGGCAGGGCAGCTGTGAGTCAGTTCTGAGCAATGAGAAGGGGTTTTTTTGTTGTTTTGGTTGGGGATTGTTTTCGCCAGTATTAGCAGGGCTTTAAAAAAAATCTTATAAACAAGAGTTCTATATCTTCAAGCTGAAATTGACCCATAATTGACCCTCCATCAGGTTTTCAGAGGCAGTAATCACTTGAGAGGAGCTTGGTGGCTTCTAAATGTGTGTCTTTGGGTTGTCAGTGCAGCCATCCAGAGTGTCCCATATAGGAGTTATTGTCGTTGTTGTGTTGTGTTGTGTATAGAGTCAGAAGCAACCCATAGCTGACCCTCCAGTGGGTTTTCTGAGGCAATGAATCTCATGAGAGGAGATTGCCCCTCCTCCCGCAGAGCAGCTGGTGGATTCGAACCACTTGTCTTTGGGATTGCAGCACAGCTTTTACCATTAGGCCACCAGAGCTCCCTTATATAAAAGTAGTTGTTGTTGAGTACCATCAAGTCAGAATTAGCTGATCCTCCAGTGGGTTTTCAGAGGCTGTTAATTGCACAGGAGGAGATTGCCCATCCTTCTTCCATGGAGCGACTGGCGGAGTTGAACTGTGTGCTTCTGGGATTGCAGTACAGTTTCTTACACTAGGCCAGCAGAGCTCCCTTACATGAGTTGTTGTTGTTGAGGACGGTAGAGTTGGAATCAACCCACAGCTGGCCCTCCAGTCCGTTTTCAGAAGCAGTTAATCACACAGGAGGAGTTTGTCCATCCATCTCCTGTAGAGCAGCTGGTGACCTTGAACTGCGTGCCTTCAGAACTGCAGCAGTTTCTTGCCACTGGACCACCAGAGCTCCCTGCCCAGAGATGAATCTTTAATATAAATGACAAAACCGATAATAATTCTAATGGAGAAATATGACAAATTTTCCCCAATGAAGAAGTAAAAAACTTTGACTTGACAACTTGGCACTGCCTGCTTCTGTGATGTAACAAGAAACTGTGTGTGTGTGTGTGTGTGTGTGTGTGTGTGTGTGTGTGTGTGTGTGTGTGTGACAAATAAAAACCAAGAGAAGGGAGCCTGGACTCTTCCAAGATCCTAGTGATGTTATAGACAAAAGTCTAAAGAACCGATTCAGAGTAAATTAAAAGAAACTGAAGATGGAGAGGAGCTCTGGCGGCTTAATGGTAAGGAAATGCATTGCCAACCTAAAGGTAGGTGGTTCGAATCCATCAGCTGCTCCGTGGAAGAAAGATGGGTAATCTCTTCCCATTTCATTATTGCCTTTGCTGGAGGGTCAGCAGTGGATAGGTTCCAACTCAACAGTATACCACTACCACCTCTACCACCACAGACATACAAGGGAGCTCTGGAGGCCTAGTGGTAAGAATCTGCACTGCAATCCTGAAGGCACATAGTTCAAATCCTCCAGCTGCTCCAAAGGAGAAGGATGGGCTATCTCCTCCCATGCAATTACTGCCTCTGAAAACCCACCAGAGGGTCAGCTATGGGCTGGTTCTGACTCGATGATATGCAACAACAACGAGTGGCCTCATGGTGAGGAGTTGCACTGCCAACCCAAAAACACAGAGTTAGAGTCCACCCACTGCTCGCAGGAGAAGAATGGGTAGTCTCGTCTGGGCAATTTGTAAACTGCCTCTGAAAACCCGCTGGAGGGTCAGCTATGAATTGGTTCCAACTGGACGGTACCTAACAACAATAAAGTTGTATGACTAGAGTATGGATTCCCCCGGCCCCTAAAAAATTGCTATCAAGAATTATGGAACAAAGAAGTTGATCAATGGCAGTCTGCTATAACTTTACAAGACAAGGGGTTTATCCCAGGATGTAAATCATTAAATGCACTATTCCACTGAGTTGACATTTTTTTGCATATCAAATCATTACTGATGGAGGAAGCTGATGTCATATCAAGACATTGCTGATGAAGGAAGGTGCACACTGGTTTGCATTCTGAAAGAAATTTCTCAACACAGACCAGGATCAAACATTTTATAAATCAGTTTCAGTTTATAGGCATACAACGAGTGATAACTTCAAAAGGGCAATGTTGGGGCCATCAGTTAAATTTGAATGTGAAATATGTATTAGACAATGGTTTATTATCACTGCTCAATTCCCTGGTTATTTACGAGAACTCACTTGTTCTTAGAAGAGCTATGCTAAAAATGTTTACAGTGCAGGATCCTGAAGTCTGCAGCTTTCTCTTAAATGCTTTCACAAAAAGCTATGGCAATGTAGGCAACATGTGTATATAACGAGAAGCCATGAATATAATAAATGTGAAAAATGTTGGCAGTCAGTGCATTGAGGTGAAAGACCTTCGATTCTTGTATTACTCTTGTTCTTTAAAAAGGTCTGAATTTTTTCATCAATAAAGTTGGGGTTTTTTTTTTCATTAAAAAGGAGAATAGATAATTGAGCATTTTAAAGAGCATTAAGTACCAGCCTTTTTGTTGATGATCATACAACCTAGATGTTTTGTTTCATGAACATGAGAGTCAATTGAAAGACTTGTTGCATACACATTGTATGAAGCAGGCCATTACACCAACCACATCTCTTCTTACATGCCCTCAATCATTGCTTCAGAAGATAACCATAATAGTTGACCCTGTGATGTGCTTCTTTATTTATTTTATTATTTGTGTGTGTGTGTGTACGATCAAATAGGATCTGACTAGTACAGGAGAGTGCCCCTCCTTCTCCAGCAGAGCATCTGGGGGATTTAAACTGCATACCTCTGGGATTACAGTGCAGCTTCTTGCCACTAGGCCACCAGAGCTCCCTATGATTTACTTCTTTACCTACATTCAGCCTCTTGGACTCTTGTTCAAGCTAGTTTCACTGGGGAAGATAAATAAATCAAACCATCTAATTTGTGTTTTCTGCTGAAAATCAGGTTTCCGAGCAGGAAATGGATGAAGTGATAGCACGCAGCACTTACCAGGAAAACAAAGAGGCCAATTCCTCTCCTGGCTCAGGTACAGTAACGGCACGTTTTCATTCGACATTAAATCGAGTTTCTCATTACGTTTCCGCTGGGGCACTTGCCAGTGCAATGTTACTGGATTCTTTGTAATTATCACATTAGGTAAAAAGAGCTAGCAAAGAGATTCTCTCCTTCCTCTTCAGGGGCTACTTTTGATTTCTGTAGTTATGCTGAATGGGTTTCAACAAAGATCTGATCATGCTTGCCTCTTATACTCAGTTTCCAAAAGTGAGCTTATAGCATTTTGTGTTTATGCACAACACTTCTGTGTGACAAATGCAACCAAAATATCAGCTGTTTGGTAAATGCAGAGTATTATCCATCCCTAAGCAGGGGGTTCTTTGGCATTTCAACTAAGAATCATGTAATGTGATATAAAAAAAAAATCATCATTTCTCCTGTCTTGAGTGGAAACATTCAGGTAGAGAAGAAAGAGATAGTAAGAGGGTTACATTAATTTAAATGCTGGAACAATGCTCACATTTTTTTTCTCAGAAATGGAAATTTTATAAAAAGGCATTTTTTTCTCTTTATATCCATAAAATGATATAATTTTTGCAAGTATAGAAATGTGTCATAAATGATACAGAATGTTCCTTAATTACATCTCAATGCAACTTGGTACTTTCTTCCCTCCCTAAAAAATGAGAGAGAACCAAAAAAAATAATATGTATATAACTGTATATATATATTTTTTATATATATTTATATAATATAGACAAACAAAATATGAAAAAAAAATCATTTCCTCTTTGGTATAAAAATCACTCTCACCTTGAGAGACACACAACACAGACATGATGTTGGGTTTGTAAACTGCATGGCCAAAAGGGATTTTCCTGCCAGACTTTCCGTTCCCCTGGTCCCTGCCCAGCCCACCCACCTCACCACCGCCCACTTCCTCCAAGGCTCCCACATCAAGCATGCAAGATCCCCATGCCTATTTCTGGCTCCACACCATTCCTAATGCACCCACTCCATCAACAGACAAGGAAGGGATTTTTCTCAAAGCGGATTTGGTAGCAACTAACTTGGGAAACAATCTAAGCAGGGAAAGGGCTTCGCAGACATGCTGTTGGAGAAGAGCTGTGCGGAGGATCTAGTCCTGTTCTGATCCACCAGGCGCGGGGCGGGCTGCCTCCTCCCCCTCCAGCACCACCCTGCATAGGAAACTACCTCCTCTTGACAGATGCTGGGGTTGGATGGGGAGGACTCCTGTTCCCCGGGAGAAGGAGATGCCAGCTTTTCTTCTCACCTCAGAATGTTCTGGGTTCTGAGGTGCATGTACAGGAAAACACCTGATGAGGAGCGAGAAAGGGACACCAGGCAGGAGTCTGCTAATGAACTTCATCTAATTTAAAGGAAACCTCATTTCCACCTCAGCCTCTCCCGCCCCAACCTAAATTGTATACCCAGCTTCATCTCACAGAGGAGGATGGGCTTACTGTCCCAGGCTCCAGTCCAAACCAGCAGGACTTGTGGAATCCAGGAATTGGTACATATATGTGCTGAGGTGGGGAGTCAGGCGACAACATTTTACTCTCAAGGTGAAGAAGGAAAGAGAACCTGACCTCCCCCTTGGGCTCTCCAGCACCTTCTTAGCTGACAGGTTCCTCCTCCCCAGGTCAGCCTCCCTGTCACAGGCCCACCAGCTGTTGGAGAATCTAATGTTGCCATGTGGTCCCTCCCCAGACATTCAACACATGGTCAGGCCAGGACCTCGCTGGACATAAATATATCTAATATTTCTGTAACAGAGAAACTTAAAAGAACTCTTGGGACACTTCTGAGATTGAGATCTTACTGCTGTTAAAACTGGTGCCCAGGAAGAAAAAGAATGAGAGATGAGTTTCTTATTTTCAGAGGTGGAAGAGGGCATAGGAATGCTGGGCAACCATGAAATATCCTCCTCGTCTGCGTTCATAATGAAGGAATTCAAAGTAACACAGACAACATAGGTTCTTTATTTGCCAACTCATTATCTGGCCTGCCCTAGCTGGAAGATGTGTTCTCACAACCCCGACACTTACATGTCATCATTGCCTAAAGGTCTCATCTCCTAAATCCCCATGCCCAAGATCTTTCTCCCAATGACAGAAAAAGTCTCAATGCTGAGCCTTTTCATCAAAACCTCTCTGTTCATGATTTCTTTGAAGGAAATTCATGTATTTATTCATCCTTGAGTCTACTCAACAAATACCACGTAACACCTACTAGGTGCCAGGCGTTCATGCTGAAAATTGTAGATGATACCCAGTTAGTGGGCATCTCTGCCCTGTAAGGAGTCCTTTAGTTGGGGAAGAGAAATGAAATTTATCCACTTAAAACTAAATGATAGTACTTTTAGGGACATGGATGAAGGATAGATTTAATACTTTGAAAGTTCAGAAATGTCTTCCAAGTGCAATCATCATAGAAGTAGTAGCATCGACTAAGGGCTTGACGGATGAGCAGACTTCTGGGGGGGAGGGGGGTGGATGTTGGATACCCATGTAGCTTGCATGGACCATCAGCACCAGCCAACCAGAAGGAGTTTTGTTTAATATGTTTAGCTCCTTTTGCAGTTAAGGATGAGAGCCCATTTGTGATTTGAGCTTCCTTTTTTTGACAATATAGTGATTTTTTTTTTCTTCTAATAGGCACTCCATTGAAGAGTCCTTCTCTCGCCAAAAAGGTGAGTCAAAGTATCCTTTCTGTCTCCCTCAGTTTGACCTCAAACCACTTTCCACCAATAAGTTACCTTCATGGCAACCCATATATGTCAGAACAGAACCCCAGAGGATTCTTAAGAGGTGATATTTCAGAAGTACGTCAAGTAGAACTGAGTAGGATTGAACCTCTAACTTTTGGGTTCACATCCAAGTGTGTTAAATATTTACACACACACCCCCAGCGATTGAAGAACTTTTTCCATGAGCCTGAGGGACCAACCCCTACTTTTGCCCATAAGTTGTTTTGCTACTTTATAAAGAAAACAGTAACAGTGCTCATCTGAGAACCCATCTTCATATGTGCTTCTCTTGTTAAGTATTCATTTGAGACTTGAGACAAGAACAGAGCAATAAAATAACTGAACTGCTGTTTGAGAAATACCTGTTTATTTTTCAAGTGCTCCCCATGACAACGAAGGCATGGGCTGGCTTCTTCAGGACAAAACTCTGAGAGACTGGGGTCCTGCTAAGCTGGGCTCCCAGAGTCAATGTCTCGGGGTTCTTGATTCCCGCATCATGAGTGGGCCAGACAACTTAGCCTGATTCCATTCTGTTTTCCTACATACCCCACTCAAATGTTTTTTTCTGGGTTGGTTGAGAAATGGTTCTTGACTCTTTTCTGCTCATTGCCAAAAATTTGACCTCCCCCCAAAAAATCTCCAAAATCATTGCCATTTTGATCATTTGTGGATACAGTTAACCATCGTGAGGTAAATGGATGTGGACTTTATATCACAGCTCTCTCCAAGGGCCATAGATTAAAATAATGTGCTCTTGGAAAGATATCAAGTAATTAAAGATGCTGTTGTTGTTGATTGCCTTTGAGTCGAGCACAACTCATAGCGACCCTATGAACAAAAGTCCTGAAGCCCCTCTACAACCATCGACATTTATCAAAGCTCATAGAGTTTCCGGAGGCATGTTGTTTAGGAAGTGGATGCCACTCCTGCTTCCAAAATTAAAAATAGTCCCTAATTTATGATGGGGTTCCATTCTACAATTCAATCCTAGTCATTTCTAACATGAGTTCAATAACTCTTTTTTGTTTTATTACTGTGTTTATAGATCTAGTCTTTATTTGTAATTGTAAATATTACATCTGAGAATAATGACACATCACAGCATTGTAACACACGCACTCATTGTGGTCAAGTTGGAACCGACTCAAAGGTGGCCCTCCAACTATGGGGTTCGAGGCTGTGAGTCACACAGGAGGAGATTGCCCATTTGTCTCCCACAGAGCCGCTGGTCGATTTGAACCAACAGAGAGGACTAGCCTTTGGATTAACAGCACAACTCCCTATGGACTGTATCACTAGAGTTCCCTTGTATTATTAGTAATATGACAAGTTGCAAGGAGTGACCAGTCCTTAGAGAGAGGTAACATGTTTGGGAGGGTGGAGAGACAGGGCAAGAGAGGAAGACTCGATGAAATGGATTGACTCAGTGACTGGGGAAACGGGGGTAGATATGTCAGACACAGTGATGTTGCCTCCAGATAGTTCAGAGCTGTTGTACATAGGATCACTCTGAGTCACAAGCAACTCAGTGGCACACAACAACAACATATTACTAATGATTGTTATTTGTGTGTGCCATTGAGTCAGAACCAACTCACAGCTGACCCACTATGAGTTTTCAGAGGATGGAAATCACAAAGGAAGAATCTGCCCAGCTTTCTCACATTGGGCAACTAGTGGAATCAAACCATGTGCCTTGGGGTTGACAACATAGCTCCTTACCTCTAGGCCACCAGAGCTCCCTAATGTTAAGAAGATATATTTTTTTTTAAAGATTGATATAAATGTGGTATGGCATAAGCCAACGATGTAGTAATGTCAGGACTACCTGCACTGTTTTAAATAGCTTACTGTTTAAAAGAATCGGCACCTGGTGCTGGCCTGCTGGCCTCTGTCAGTCATCCGGCTCTTTTTCTTCTCCACAGGACTCCCTTCTCTCGGAATCCGAACTCTCCCAGTACTTCACCCACGACGTCCCAGGGCCCTTGTCAGACTTCATGGTGGCCTGCTCTGAGGATGAGGATCACCCCGGGGGTGGCTGTAGCACATCGGAGGATGGCAGCCTGCCCCCCAGCACCCCTAGTAAGCAGTGGGTCTAGAGGGCAGAAAATGGGACATGGAGGCACAAGGCCGTGAGGGTCTTTCTGAAAGTGCCACAGGGGAGGGTCTTTCTGAAAGGGCCACAGGGAGTGAGAACAGCACAGCCCCTCACTGCCAGAGCAGAAAGCAGATCAAGAGCCCATAGTCCAGACCCATGGTGCCTCTAGAGTCACACCAGCAGCAAGAGGCTCATTTCTTTGTTGTTGACTCAGAGACTCACAGGTGTGATGCCGAGAATGGGGTTTATTAGGGAAGTTGGAAAGTGGGGGAGGCAAAGAATATCACCCAATGCAAACCCAAGTTTTTAGCCCAGCAGCCCCAGGCACAATTCCTCAATTAGTCCCGATGCCAATATTCGTTCAGCCAGCAGCTTTCCTTCCATAATCAAAAGCTAGAACCACAAAACCTTTAACTGTGGCCAGCAGAAATGCAAGAAGCCTCAGATCACACCTTGCTACAGTTTCTGCACCATCATCACCAAGATCTTGCTCTCACGAGGTTCTTGCTCTAGTCTCCCTCAGGTCTTGCCCATCTCAAGTGTTGCTACTCAGTGGAAAGCTTACGCTTTCTCACGCTCGCTCTCTCACTTGCTCTCTCTCTCTCTCTCTTGCACTCGCTCTCTTCTCTCTCTCTCTCCCTCTCTCTCCCTAGTCCCACAGCTGTTGATCATTTGCAAGACCATGTGTCTGCAGATAAGGTAACTGTGGAGACCAGAGGGGGCTTATGTAATGGCTAAAAACAGCTGACTTTTTGGCTAACACCGTACAGAGGAACACCGGAGGGCCCTGGGTTCTGCATTCCGGTTAGAATTACGGTTCCTGGGCACTCCAGCGGCACTGCAGGCTGTGCTGCTCCCGTCTAAAAAGAGATCTAAAAATTATACCTCTGGCTAAATAGAAGCCATCTTTCTACTTAAAAGAAAAAAACCCCACAGCTATCAAGTCCTTTACGACTATTTGTGGCCCTCCATTTGCTTTCTGGGGCTGTAAATCTTTTGTTTATTTCTATTGTTGTTGTTGTTATTTTATTATGGGAAGAAAACTGCCCATCTTTCTACCACAGGACAGCTGGTAGATTTGAACCACCTACCTTTTGGTCAGCAGCGTTACGCAGTTTGCCATCAGAGCTCCTTTTTCACCCTAGAAACAGTCTATTCTGGGAAAACCTGGTCCCTGTTAATGACAGGCAATCACTCACACAATACGCGATGAGCACACATTCCGTGACCAAGGGCTGAAGGATGCTAACCACCTTTAGACACCGTCCATATATCTTGGACTTGAATTTTATGGCATCATCAGATCTGGTTTGGCAACCTATGGCTTTACCTACTGGAAGAATCTCAGCCAAATTTCAGGTCCCCTCCCTCACTAAACCCCAGCTTAATTCCACTGAAAACTCAGCGGATAGACAATTCAGAACTGGTAAATCAGATATTGCTAAAAAGGTGGTTTCACCTCATTGATTATCTGCTCAAGAGCAAGAGATAATAATTATCAGACATGAGCTTCCCTGATTTCTCAAGTTTCTGCCGGTGCCATTTCTTCCTCCACCACCACCCCCCTTTGGAGAGACAGAGGATTGACAACTCCAATTCTCAGCAGGAGAACAGTTGATACGGGTACTCTGATCTCTGGTGGAAACATTTCACAGTGAAGCCACATTTCCTTTTTCACATGGCTGAGCTCGCCATGCTTCAGTCTCCTCCCTGGATGGGTCTCTGTACATTGGCTCTTAGAAATAAGACAATTCCAGATCACTGTGCAGTGCTCTCTAGGAGCTTGTTGAGGTCATTTTGGCTCAAACTCATGGCGATCCCACATCCAGAAGCACAGGAGGTTGCTGGAACTGTGCCGTCATCACGGTTTGTGAATATGCTCCAGTCTGTCATGGCAGCCACCAGATATTCTGAGTAACTTCTGACCCACATGACTCACCATCAGCATTCTTTTGGCCAGTGCTTTGCTGTGATCTGTAGGTTTTCACGGGCTGATTGTGGAATATAGACACTTCCTTGTCTCTCTTAGCCTGAAAGCTCTGCTGAAATCTGTCCACTGTGACAGCAATCAAGCCATCCCAGTATTACAAATTGGCAGACGGGTGGTGGTCCAGGAACTTGTTCAGTCAGGTCCCCCTTTGTGCCATGAGGAAGGATATCCTATGATTAATAAATCCCAGGGGTATGGAACCTGGTGATGGTCATCAGAGCAAGTTACTTAGATGGGTATTTTCTGGAGTAATGTTCAGGTGGTTCCAGCCACATTAGACACCATGGAGCTTTGTGACATATATGCTTCTGTCTTGAAACAACACATATTTAAGTTAAATTAGCAAGCTTGGAGTTGTTACTGTTTGCCACTGAGTCAGAACTGATCCACAGCTGACCCTCTGGTGGGTTTTCAGAGCCAGTAAAATGGACAGGAAGAGACTGCCCGTGCCTTCTTCCATAGAGCAGCTGGTGGATCAGAACTGCATGCCTTTGGGATTGTAGTGCAGCTTCTAACTACTAGACCACGAGGTTAGAAATAAATAAGGGAAGCCAGTAGGAAAGAAGAGTACCAAGAGGTAGTGACTGCCCTCTTGGAGCTCTCTAGAAGTCATACATCATTTAAAGCTTTATAAGCATGGACATGGTTGTATACACCGATGGGCTGGTAGACCCACACCAGATGGTGCACTTAATTGTATTTAACTTTTCCCCTCACCTTTATCTCCACCAGCTCACAAGGAACCCGGAAAAGCCAGAGCCAACAGCCTGGTGTGTCTTGGAAGCCAGCGGGCCTTTGGGCTCGTCCATAAGCAGGTGGCCATTGCCAGACAAACGAGTCTCCCTGGAAGCCCACAGGGCCCCCGAAACCCTCTCTTCCGTCAGAGAAGGGTGGGCTGCTATGATGGCAATGATGCCAGTGACGAGGAAGACTTCGATGGGGAAGGAGACTGTGTTTCCCTTCCAGGCACCCTCCTGGGTCCCAGCAGGCCTCAGGCGGAGGATGGCTCTGGGAAGGTCATCACAACCTTGTGCAAGGTCACGGATATCAACAGTCAGCAGGCGCCACCTCAGAAAACAGTGGTCAGCAAGACCGTCTCGGCTCCTTTCCTTGGCAGCTCTCTGGACGCGGAGGAGAAGGTTCCAAGGACTATGGTGTCCTCTCTTTCCCAGACAGCCAACCTGCTGGACTCCACAGAGGCCTCCATGGGCAGCCCTGGCTGCTCGGGGAAGAAGGAGTCGTCAGAACGGAGGAGTTCACTCAGATTGGAATGCAGAGCCAGCACAGGCACCCCGAGTCCAAAGAGCACAGCGTGCTCCAGTTCCTCCCCACAGAATGATCTCCTGGGGTCCAGGCACAAGCCGGTGGCCAGGATCAGCCCACACTGCAAGAGGCCCACAGCAGAGGCCGGGCCCTGCAACCCGGGGACAGCAGACCTGATGGACACAGCCCACGGATCATGTGGTCCAGACGTGACAATCCAAGCTGCTTCTTTAAAAGTGACCATCGGTGGTTTCCAGCCAGCTGGGACAGCGGAGACGGTAATTGACCTTTCCCCCTGTGTTGCTAAATGAGCATCATGCGGGTTCGAGAGGTGCCTGAGGTAAAGCTGAGGGTCAGCTGCCTGAGAGAAGGGTTCAAAGATCCTGAGGATGGTCTCTGGTCATTGTCACTCTTCCCAGGACACTGGCTCCTTGGGACCCTCTCACTGTGACAGCTGGTGGTTTGGAGGAAAGTGGCCTGGAGTTGAGTCAGAAGGTCTAGTCCAGCTTCTAGCTGTCCACAGGCTACAGATGATGATGGAAAGGTGGTGTGGACGTAAAGCCCAGGGCCTGACACTGGCCCCTCCACAGAGGAGCTGAAAGATCATTTGGGGAAATCCTGGGGCATTTCAAGCCTCATTCTCTGGCTGGAAAGACCACCTCCCAGAATAGCAGTAGTTGTTAGGTGCTGAAGCTGCGACTGTGACCGCAGTGACCCCTCCCTGTGCCATCCTCACAGTCTCCCCATGCTCAAGTCTATCGCTGCAGTCACCGTGTCTGCGTCTGTCGACCTCACTGAGGGTCTTCTTCTCTTTTTTTGACCTTCCATTTAGCGCAGATCAGTGGGAAATATTAAATACGGGTATATTTATTAACAGAAACCTGATACGGTTGGAAAGAACTCTAAGGTGTTTTTTTTTTAAATATTCTGTCATAAACCAACACCACTGACATAAATTTAATTCCAACTCATAATGGCCCCACAGAGCAGAATAGAGCTGCACCTTGGAAGTTTCCAAATCTACAAATCCTTATGGGAGCAGACTGCCACATCTTTCTCCTACAGAGCGGCAGGAAGGCTTGAACCACTGGCCTTTTGGTTAACAGTCAAACTCTTAACTACCAGAGCTTCTTCATTCTCCCATGACTGTGTAGAGTTACTGCTATTCATTTCTTTACGTGTCATGTGGATCGAATGGGGATTTGTTGTTGTTGCGTGATTGCCTTCAAGTTGAGCATGATTCATAGAGACCCTATAAACAAAAGGCCTGAAGCCTTTCAATAAGTAGCGACCTTTATCAAAGTTCATCGAGTTTCCAGAGGCATGTTGTTTAAGAAGTGGATAAAATTGTCCATATCTAATAGAAGTTATAGGGTCAGTATCTGACAACAAAAGTTGTTAGAATATTCCAAAATTAGTAAATTGCTCATTTTTAAATTTCAATACACCTCCACTTTAGCAAAGAGCAAATAAGAGGCACTTAATACTGTATTTGCTCTCCACACAAATAAGTTTGCTCCATCTGATAAAATAATCCGGAACGACTTGTGTGACTATGTCTATCAAGATATGTGTTCAGGTGGTTTTTACACATGTGTAAATAAAGCCAGGATATGTAACATCATAGAAAGTGTTCTAGCAAAACATGATTTTTTAGCCTTACTTAAAAAAGAAAACCATCTTCCCCCCCTCTTCTCGAAAAGCATGTTATTATTCGAATCACCATATAAAGTTAACGTTTTACTATTGAAATTTCAGACGATGAATAAATTAATTTTTTAATTCTTTTTTTAAAATAATCTTCAACAAGTTTTGGATAATCATACAAAGACAAGTCAGGATGATTATTCCTAATAATTTGTATCTATTAGAGTCAATATTCCTCAATATGCATAAGAATGACAGGAGAAGTGTCGATGCCTTTGAGTTGTGGAGCTGTAGCAGAGAGCTGAGTATCCCATAGACTGCAAAGAGAACACACAGATATATCTTGGAGAAGGTGCAGCCAAATTGCTGCTTGGAGACAAGGATAATGAAGCTTTGTCACACATCATTTGGGCATGTCATTTGGATAGGCTCTTTCTTAGAAGATGCTTAGAAAGCATCTTCTCAGGCTTAGAAAGGTAGAGGGTCAGCAAAGGAGAGGAAGACCATCAACGCAATGGGCTGACACAGTGGCTACATCAGTGGGATCAAGCATACAAGAGATGATAAGGATGGCACAGGGTTTGGGTTCAGGGGTCACTAGGAGTTGTACTCGACTCAACGGTAATTAGCAGTAACAGCAACACTCCCCAAAAAAGAACTGTCAGCAGCATTTGACACTCTTTTAACAAAAGAAGCTTAATTTTTCTTGCAAGAAATTGTAAGAAAATAATTGTACACTAATTTTAATAGTTCATAATTGGGTTTATACATGAGAAAGAAAACAGGATGTTTTGCCGTGATAAGATTGAGAATTTTTAAAAAATATCTTTTGGGAACTGGGTGCACTTCTATTATTTTTTACACTGTGCTTATGCCTTACCAGTAAATAGAAAGTAAACAGAGTGAATGAAGCCCTATGTAGCTCTCCCTCCCTCACCAATCCACCTTTTACTAAATGATGATTTTCCTTGAGTAGCTGCCCGCCACTCAACTCCCATCCCTATTGTCCCTGCTGCCACCTACTGGCCACTGTATTAACTGAGCAAGTAAAAATCAAATCAGATTTAACTTTTTAAGCCAATTTTTTTTTTATGGTCAATATGAGATGAAAGGAAGAAAAGACAATTGATTCTTGGTAACGTAACATTTTAAATATTAATGGTAGATTTCATTTCTCCACATTAGTTATCTCCCTCATTACCCCAAACAGAAGGGTTGTTTAGAGTCTCGGCTAACACTGTGCAAAGCAGAAACAAACATTTCTAACACAGATGCAGCCTTTGATGTGCTACATACTGCCTTGATAACTGTTGCCTCGTTTCACCATCTTTTAAATCTCTATGAGTTAGACAAGTCTTTTTTTTTTTTAAAATCTCTGAATTTGGGGAAGAATTTGCATACAAATGTCATAGAATTGTATCAATATGACAATGTTAAAATTTTTATTCCAAGGTTTACTAATCATGCATTTTTCATACCATTACTCATAGACATTTTGTTTGTTCTCTGATATTAACTCCCATTTATTAATTAATTGCAATATCTACTCAGCTCTTTATTGTGTATTGTCTTTCACTCAGTTTATCTATTTTTACCGCCTCTCTTTCTCCCTTCCTATTTCCATGATTCCTCCAAGATTGACTCTTTCCCTGTGTAAATCTCTCCCTAATTTTTTATATTAGTGGGCTCACACCATACTTGGTTTTTAGTGAGTAGGTTACTTCATTCTGCATCATTTGTTCCAGATTCACCTACGTTTTTGCACAAATTCTTGATCAGTTTTTGGTGATTAGATAAAACAAGCCTTCTCACCCCCATTTTAAAGTTGAGAAGACTGAGGCTTAGGGAAGAATGGTAAAGCTATGCAGATGCTAGAAGATGTTAAGATCAGAGCCTGGGTCTCATCCAGGGCTTTTTCGAATGTCTCCAAACCTGCTCTGGTCTACAGATTATGTTGTGTTATGATGAAGATAACGTGTGTACCATTGTAAGTGACTTATGGGTATTACTGTTCCAGGAATCTCCGGGAAAGCCGACCAGCGAGGATGGCTGCGTCCCTGCAGACAGTAAACCAGCCAGCACTCTGTCCCACCGTACAGAAAGCCAGTCCAAAGCTTTACCAGTGGGAGCACAGCCCCCTGTGAAGGGTAAGATATTTCTATCATTTGTAAAGAGTAGACATTATCCCAGTAAGAACACTCTAAGTGGAGAATTGAGGTGGGAGTGGGGATTGAAATCTCCAGACAAATGAAGGTGTATAAAAGTCATCTGCACTTAGGAATCCCTGCACAGTGTTGATGGGGATGAGTCTTTCAAGAGGCATCATGGAAGAAAGGCCTGGCAGTCTATGTCTGGAAAGTCCACCACTGAAAACCCACACAGGGTCACCGTGAGTCAGAATCAACGCTATAGCAACTGGTCACCTGCATGTGACAACTTTGTTGTTAATGGTAGTTGTGGTGGCCGGTCACCTCAGTCATCCAAAACTCAATAAAACTCAAACTCATTGTTGTCCATTTGGGACCAACTCATAGCTAACCCTCTAGTGGGTCTCCAAGGCCGTAAATCACACAAGAGACTACTCATCTTTTTCCCTCAAAGCAGCTGGTGGATTTGAACCACCACAGGTGCCACATGTGGCTCAGCAGTGCACCTTTTAAGGACTTTACCAGAGCATGCCTTACAAAGTAAAACCGGGCTGCAGGTTGTTGTTGGCTGTGAATATAGTGGAGGGGTTCTGGTGGTGAAATGGTGAGGCACGTGTCCATCCTTATAAGGTACTGACGGAGCAGCCTGAGCGCCCAGCTCTGGGGACCACCCTTAGCACAGAGGATCTCGGTGCCAGCACACCTGTGGCCTGCCCCAGGTCCGAAGCTGCAGAAGGGCCCAGTATCCACCGCACCCTCATTGGTACAGCCTGGGGGACCTTCCTCCATGTGCATGTGCCCGAGTGTGTCCACAGTCTTGGGCATTTGAGATATTTCCCACTTAAACCACTTCGTGAAAAGCAGCCTTTAAATGACCTCTTTTTTTTTTTTTTGCCTCGTTGCTACTTTGCCCATGTTTGGAACAGAAGGAGCAGAAAGCCGTGGGGTGGGGGGAGTTTTGGAAAGTCTGAGCCCAGAGAGCACCCCATCCAAGACCTTGTCTTTCCAAGTGGCCTGGGAAATTAGGGGCAGTTCAAATGGACATCTCGCCCACAGCCGGGCCTGGCCTGATGGGCATTGCCCAATGCTGGCACTGAGATGCCATGTGCCATCTGCATGGAAGCAGAGAGAAGCAAAGGAATGAAGCAGTCACAGCCCGGGGCTTTGCCATTGTATAAATGCCAACAAGGTGACAGCATGAAGAAAGCCAAGCTCAAGATTCCCAGTGTCCGAGTCCTTATAAATAACCAAAAAGAAGGAAAGAACAGAGGCACACGGTCACTCAGCAGGGCCATGTTTGTTAGATGTAGCTCCTCTGTAATTAGAGAGATAAGAATAAATCCAGAAAGATAAGATGGTTGGCGCTCAGGTTGCAGGGGGCGCGGGCTCTGGTGGCTTAGTGGTAAGGGACTGAGCTGCCAAAGCAAAGGTGTGCGGTTTGAATCCACCAGCTGCTTCATGGCAGAAAGATAAGCAGTCAACTCCTATGCTATCAGCTGCCTCTGAAAACTCACTCGATGGTCAGCTACAAGTCACTTCCAGCTCCACAGTACAGCAAGAGTTTGCTTGTGAAATATCTTTCTAGAAAACAGTTAGATTGCTTATGAAGTTTTTGCTTGTTGTTTGGTTTTGTTTTTTTTTTTAAATTTTTCATTTTCTCTGCTTCTTCCACCATCACACTTTTTGTTTTCATTCTCATCCAGGCCTGGGCAGCTCACAGGACCTCATCCTGTCCCCCGGAAGAAAGGCAGCTTCCTCTGACTCCAGCAAGGCCCCCACAGACATAGGCGAGGCCAGTCGGCCCAGGGACCACAGGAAGCCAGTGTCACCCCAGCCCCCTGAGTCTGAGGACCGGCCTCAGGTCAGACTCACCCGTGACCTCGGCCTATCCCCAGGATCTAGGAAGACGCCGGCTCCTCCTGACTTCAGCCAGACTCAAGCCACCTTCCCCGAGGACACCAAGAAGGCGGCCACCCTCAAGGGAGCGGGACCTGAGGCAGAGAGATTATCTCAAGCTAGTGCTGCCCTGTCACCAGACCAGGTCACCTCCCAAGACAGACAGAGCAACCACGGCAGGGCTTTGGAGACAACAGAAACCCGCATTCCAGAACATTCTGGGGCATCTGTATCCACGAGGCCACAGGCCCAAGCCTCCCTGGCATCATCCACAGACAAGACCATGGTGGGGTGCGGCCGTGGCTCTGGGCACTGCTGCCCGGGAGCGAACAGGAACAGCCCTGTGACTGACATCGACACACTCATCACGGAGCTGGACGGTCCTGAAGGAGGACGCCTGTCCTGTCAGACAGGTGACAGTGCCAGTCATGATGGCAGGGCTCAAGGTGGCCCTCCTGCCAAGGCCGAAAATGGAGGCATCTCCCAAGACAAGGCCACCTTGGGGAAAGGGACCCCGTCCCCAAGGAGGGCCCGAGCCACTGGGCCACCCCCACACCCCCAGTGGGCCTCCCAGCCTTCACTCTTGGATTCCATCCACCCCGACAAACACTTCACTGTGAACAAGAACTTCCTGAACAACTACTCGAGAAATCTGAGCAGTTTCCATGAGGACAGCCTGTCCCTCTCGGGCCCGGGCGACAGCACAGAGCCGTCCCTCTCATCCATGTATGGTGACGCGGAGGACTCGTCCTCAGACCCCGAGTCCCTCACAGAAGCCCCTCGAACTTCCACCAGGGACCGCTGGTCACCTCCTCCTCCCAGGGCAGCCCACCAGGGAGATGCCACAGAGTCTGAGGAGGAGCAAGTTGAAATCTGCTCCGCCCATGGCTATCCCCGTCCCCTGTCGGCCACTTCTCAGAAGGCACCCTGCCCTGCGTTGGCCAGAGTCCTGCCATTAAAGCCCCGTGCACTGGTGGCATCGGTGGGAGACGCCTGTGACACAGCGACCTTCGTGCCAGCAACATCATGCTTCTCAGTGCCAGACTCTGACCAGCCATTCTCTCTATTAACTCTGAGCCCTCAGGAGCCCGCAGCTCGTGGGGACACAGGCCTTTCTCGGTGTCCAGAAGGAACAGTAGAAGTGGCCGGCACTGGCACAGCTGGGGCAAGCAGCCAGCCTTCTGAAGTCACCAGTCGTCAGGATGTCCCGGTCACTCCCTGTTTGTCTCATGTCATGAACGGTGTGGCCTGTGACCTGCTGGACGATGTGACCCTGAACGAAGGACAGGAAACAAATGTCAATGCCAGTGAAGAGCCTGCCCCGCTCGGCATGGGGGTCCCCGAGAACAGAGACCCTGTCCTGGCAAACCTGCACATCTCTGAAGGCCAGGACCCTGGGGACCTGCCCCTCAGGCCCAAAGCCACCTCCAGGAGGCCCATCATGGCCTGGTTTAAGGAAATCAATAAAACATCCCCAGGCACTCCTCCGCAGAGCAGGACTGAAAAAGAGCCCTGCACAGTGACGCCCAGGGGCCCTGATCCTAAAATGCACAAAAAAGGGGCGTCTGTGGCCAGCAGCCCCCCTCAGCCGAAGGTGAGCCAGGAAAATAAAGAGGTGCCCAAGAAGAGTTCCATAGAAACGCTCCTGAGTGCCAGCCCGAAGGCCAGGCCCAGCCCGAAGCTCAAGAAGCTGAGTATTAAGAGGGCAAGCAGGGTCGGGGCAGAAGCTGGGGGGACGGAGCCCCACAAAGGCCCGACCTCACCCCAGGGGGGCCAGAAAATGCTCCCCAGGGGCGCTGCGCATCACAGCCACACAGGTGACCAGGACGAGCCCAGCAAGGCCGTGGCCACCCCAAAGTGCACGCTAGACAATAGACCACCACTGGTGGCATCTGGGACACTGAAGGCCTCGGCGTCAGACATGAGCATCAGGACAGTCTCGCCCATCACCTCCCCCAAGTGTCCCAAGGAGCCCCCAGGTGTAGGAAGTCATCACTCGGAACCAGATGGCAGTTGGCCCGCTGTCCCCAGGTCCCCCAGGGGTGTCACAGAGAGAATGAACGAGAGCTCCAGGCCATCACACAGCAGTGTGTCCCCTGGCCACCTCTCCACTGCGGGGAACAGGCCTGACACCCCGCCTGTTTCAGAAACAGCCCATCCCTGGGGGCCTGGCGAGAAAGGACACAGAGCCATCACCAGGGAGGCCCTCGAAGGGACAAAGCAGCTGAAAATCATCGAGGGTCCTGAGACCACACCTAAGGGGGCTTCTGGTGACAAGCCAGCTGCAAATTACAGGCGGGCGATGGTTTCAGCCCACAGCAATGGTCACGAGAGGGGTGAGGTCCGGCTTCGTCCCTTGTCAGTGGACTGGTCTCCTCAAGACCCCCAGTCACCATCAGCTCGGGCCTCACAGGTGGCCCCAGAGCTGTCCCGTTCCCTCAGTGCCACCAAGCTGGCTCCCTGCCCCTCCCCACAGCTGCCCCCCAGGACAGAAGCCTCCATGCGGAAAGCAAGCCCCACACTGGAGCCCCAGGGGCTGCCCAAGAATGTCACCACTTCAGGGACCGCTGTGGATGACCACCCCTACTTCACACCTCGCCCGGCCACCAGGACCTACTCCATGCCGGCCCAGTTCTCCAGCCACTTTGGACGGGAGGGCCTGTCCCTCCACACCCCTGGTAACCCCCATCCTGATAACTGGGACCCTGAGACAGGCAGTGGTAGCTTCCTGGAGACCAAGCCGTCCAAAGGCAGTGGCCTCAGTCTGGCCAACGGGCAGGGCGTGTACAGCATGAAGCCCCTTCTGGAGACGGGCACTGACGGCGGGGACACCCTGCCTCTCCTCAGCGACAAAATCAGGGTTACCAGGCGCCATTACTACTACGAGCAGAGCTGGCCCCACGAATCTACCTCATTCTTCTCTGTCAAGCAGAGGATCAAGTCCTTTGAGAACCTGGCCCACCCTGAGCGGCCGGCCACCAAGGCTGGCCCCCTGTCGTCCCCATTGGTCAGTGCCAAGCCCCCCATCGGACGACGATCGTCCGGGAGCATCCCCTCCGGGGCTCTCGGCCACCACGGGGAGGCCGCCCGCTCGCTGCGGCGGAGCCTGAGCTCCTGCAGCGAGAACCAGAGCGAAGCCAGCGTCCTGGTGGCCCCGATGACCAAGTCCCCCTCCAGCGCGGTGCTGACTGGCAGCCGGCAGCCCCCCCGGGAGGCCGGTGACCGGGGCCAAGATTCCAACATGCAGAAAGCCCCGGGGTCCTCCGGGGTGCTCGCCCCCACAATGCCAGCCGCCTCGCCCGTCAAGAGGCACAAGTCGTCCGTGCGCCACAGCCAGGCGTCTCCACTGTCGCGCTCCAAGCTGCAGGAGCTGCGCGCGCTGAGCATGCCCGACCTGGACAAGCTGTGCGCGGGGGACGGCGCCAGGGAGCCCGCCGCCCTGCTCTTCAAAACCCAGCTGGAGATCGTGCCCCGCAGGCCGCCCTGCGCCCCCGCTGCGGGCCCTGCCCCAGGAGAGGACCCCCAGGAGGACGCTGCCCAGGCTGGCCAGGACCTGGCCTCCGGGGAGAGCTGGGCAGTTAAGTGAGTATCTGCACCCACCCTCCTACCTTTTCCTTAACTTAATGTTGGAAGTCTTTGCAGTTTCCAGAACATGGGAGCCCTGGTGGCCTAGTGGGTAAGGAGTTGTGCTTCTGGTCCAAAGGCAACCAGTCTGAATCCACCAGCTGCTCCATGGGAGAAAGGTGGGAATTTATAACCTCTGAAAACCCATTGGAGGGTCAGCTGTGAGTGGGAGCCATGAGTTTGAGTTTTAAGTGTGATGAGATCCTGGCTTTGTTCCTGAACTAAACAAAAGGACTTGGTGGGACACTGAATGAAGTCTGGACCAAGACTGCCCAGGTCACATCCCTGACCCTGCAGTCTTCCTTGTGAGGATTGGACTGCTGCGATATAAGATGTCAAATAGGGGGAGCTGTGTGAAGGGCACAGAGACCTCTACTGCTCTGTTGCTATTGTGTGCCTTCAAGTCAGAACTGACCCAGAGGTGACCCTCCAGCCAGAGACCTCTCCTGCTCTGTTGCTGTTGTTTGCCTTCAAGTTGGAACTAATCCAGAACGCACAACATGCCATCAGGGTTGCAGTCCAGCTTCTTGCCACTAGGCCAAAGACCCTCCAGGAGAATTGACATGGTGACTGAAACGAGTAATAAAAACATGACACATAGCATGCAAGTGATGTAGGGCAAGGCAAGGTTGAGATGTGTTGTTCATAGGATCGCTATGAGTCCCTGTCAACTCGAGGACACTGAACCACACTCCTGGGATCATTACTGAGAAAACTGAGCTCTCATGGCTCAGTGGTGAGGAGTTGTGTTGCCAACCCAAAGGCGTGTGGTTCAAATCCACTGGCTGTTCTGCAGGAAAAAAATAGGCAGTCTCCCCCTGATTGATTTACAGCCTCTGAAAACCTGCTGGAGGGTCAGCTGTGATTTGGTTTCAGCTCCACAGTATGTAAGTTACAACTGGGGAAATTCAGGACCTCCAGGGGGAGCATTGCCCGGAGGACAGGATTATACAGAACGTGATACTTCAGTCAGAGCACGATGCCAGGGAGCTGGAACAAAGGAGACTGTACCTCAGACACAGCCTGGGCCTCTGAACGCATCCAGAAGCCAACAGGAGAGCTGATACGAGGATTTCCTGCAAATCTGTATGCTATTTTTTAATCAGTCAGAAATGTCCTGCACATCTTGAAGGAAACCCTGAATCCCCAGCAATTCCCATTGGTGTCAGCAGTAAATGAAACTTCTGAGTGGCATGCAGGGTCCCTCAAGTGGTTGGGAGCAGAAATTAGGACCAAAAGAAAGCATGTGGTTCAGAAAATGATGGCAAGGGAGCACTGTGCTTGTCAGAAAGGTGATGGTGGTGGTGGTTAGGAGCTGCCGAGTCGACTGACTCAGTGACCCTATGAACAAACACATCTTTATGGATGATATCAAAAGGAGAGCCACTTAAATGCATCATTAAAAACAGAGACATGGCTTTGTCCTTTAATGCTCGTCACATGTCTTTCTATCTAGTTTGGCTCAACTTCTCATCTCGGTGGGTGACCAGCAAAAGTTGCAGTCTGTCCTGTCATCGGTGGGGTCAAAATCTACCGTCCTCAGTCTTGTTCAGGAAGCGAAGGCACAATCAGAGGTGAGTGGGACAACGGACGCACACACGTCAGCATCCCGGGGCGTGTGTGGTGAGTGGTGCTTATCCTCATACCTACGACAGGTGTTTCTTTCCAGTCTATCCATTTGGGGTGAAATCCTTTCTAAAAGGCCTCCCACATCTCCTGACTTCACAGGCATCCCGAGGGATGTGGCCTGTTGTTAATGATTCAGGAATGGTCAATGGGGGCCTTGAGCTGGGATCTGGGGGTGTTCTTAGGTCTATCCCAGGTACCCCCACCTTCTGGCCGACTGGCTGGCTTAAATGATCAGTGGGCTGCTAAGTAGATGAATGGACTTGATAATGTATCTACTCTATATAACGTGGCATGTGTCAGGGTAGCAAATGTATTGCATTTGTGTCTTCAACAAAGTATAGTTGAGGCCTTAAGGGCTTTTTCCCTTGGAACAAAGTCCTGCCTTCTTTTTTCCCTACATCTGTACTTCTTTTATAAGATCAGCATGTTAGATCTATCTGGGGAGTCTAAGGTGTCCAACTGAAAGCACCACAATAGGTGGAGAATAGATTGAGGTTGTTGACAGTTTCAGCTTGCTCAGCTCCACAACCAACACTCTTGGTACCAGAAACCAGGAAATCAAGACAAATTGCACTGGGAAAGTGTACTGTCAGAGACCTCTCTGAAGTGCTAAAGAGCAATGATGTCAGTCTAGAGATTAAGGTGCACCTGATTCAGGCCATGGTCTTTGCAACTACTTGCTATGCATCAGAGAGCTAGACTAAGGATGACAAAAAAAAGACTTGATGCGTTTGAGTTGTGGTATTGAAGAAAAGTATTGAAAATACCATGGACTGCTAAGGAAACAAACAGATCCAACTTGGAGAGGGTGAAACCAAGTTTCTCCTTAGAGGCAAGTATTTTGAAGCTCCGTCTCACATATTTTGGGCATGTGGCCAGGAGAGACCGGTCCTTGGAGAAGGACATCATGCTTAGAAGGGTGGAGGGACAGTGCAGAAGAGGAAGACCCCAGATGAGATGGGTTGAAACAGTAACTGAGGGAATGGGAGTTGGTATGACAGAGTCAGTGAGACTGGCTTAGGACAGGGCAGAGTTCAGAGTTTTTGTACATATAGGGTCAATTTGAGTCACAGGCAACTCGATGGCACATAACAACAACTACAAGGTGACCAAAGTGGCCCAAGATTAAGGAAAGAGAAAATAATTTTTTCTTTAAAGGAACAGCTATTGCTGTTGTCTGGATAAAATTAAAGGGAGCTGTCACCAGTGAAAATGAAGGCTAGGGACCCAATTTAGAAACAATTTATCGACATAGATGGCAACACAAAATGTAGAGGTGAAAAGAGGTGCTCAGGATGTCTGCAGTGTGTCTCCCACAAGCTCACTGGAGCTGCCCGGAGCCCGATCAGGAGCACAGGGCAGTGGGCCTGTTTACAAGGAAGCAAGGCATTCCGTTCCAGACCCGCTGAGCTGAAGTTACAGTGGAGGAGTGAGTTAGAAATGGGAGAAGAATCCTCAGAGCTTGGTAGGGGACAATGGACTTTCTGTGGCTTTGCAAAGAGAGAAGATCATTTTGAAGAGAACTAAAGTACACCATGGTATTATCAGTCACCTCCTAGGCACGTGAAAGCTGCACAAAGAATAAGGAATGAGGAAGACTGGGTGCCTCTGAATTCTGGTGAATCCCAAGGACTGCCAGAAGAATGAACAGATCTGTTCTGGAAGTATAGCAGGAATACAGCAGAGAACCGAAGACAGCAGGAGTTCATCTGACGTACTTTAGACATGTTATCAGGAGGATGAGTCCAAGCAGCAGGACATCGTGCTTGCTGTCAAGTAGAGGTTCAGTGAGAAGGAAGAAGGACTGACAGGGTCTATGACAATGGGCTCCTGCACAGCGGTGGTCGTGGAGACCGTGCACAAGCCAGATGGGCTTTCATTCTGTAGTACACAGGATCGGTGCGAGTGGTAACTGAGTCAGCTTGCTTCTGGAAACTCTATGAACTTGGAGAAAGGATGAATGTTATACAAGTATTTAGGTCTTTTGTTCATAGGGTCTCTGGCACTTAACAACAACCACATGAATATATATATATATATATCATAATTGTTGTTGCTGAAATCATCGAGTCAAATGTGACTCATAGCAATCCTATGAACAACAGACCTGAACCCTGTCCTGGCCTGTGCCATCCTTACACTTCCTGACACACTCAAGTCCATTGCTGCAGTTGCTGTGTCAGTTCACCTGATTGAGGGTCTTCCTCTCCTTCACTGTCCCTCCACCTTTCCAAGCATGATGTTCCTCTCCAAGGAATAGCCTCCCCTAGAAATACACACGAAGTGTGTGAGAAGCCTCACCATCCTTGCATTCAAGGAGCACTCCTCTGTCTGTTCTATTTCCATGACTTATCTATTTGTTCTTTTGGCAGTCCGTGGGGTATTCTGTATCCTTCTCGAGCAAAACTCAAGGCCATATGTTCTTCTGTCATCCTTACTTATCATCCAACTCTCTGATACATAGCACGTGATTGAGCAGACCATGACTGAAATAACGCACACACCTTAGTCTTCAAATTGACATCATTGCTCTTTATCATTTTGGTGAGGTCACTGACAGGGAACTTGCCCAGTGCAATATATCTCTTGGTTTCCTCACTCTTGGTACCAAGCATGTTGATTGTTGATCCAAGCAAGATGAAATTATTGACCGTTTCAGTCCTTTCTCCATCCATCATAGTCTTTACTATTGGTCCTGTGTTGAAAGCCTTTGTTTTCTTGGTGTTGAGATATGATCCATATTGAAGGCAGTAGTCCTTGATGTTCTGCAGCAAGCACTTCATATCCCCCTCACTTTCAGCAAGCAAAGTTGTGTCATCTGCATAATGCAGACTGTTGATGTGTCTTCTTCTGATCCTAATGCCAAATACCTCTTCATAGAGTCCAGTGTCGGGAATTATTTGTCCAGCATACAGATGAATAGGTACAGAGAAAGGATGCCGTGTTCCCTTGCAGTGTTCTGATAACAGCTTCTTGATCTAGGTATAGATTTCTCAGAGTACAATTAAAAGAAAACCCCAAACAAGGAGAAAAGTGTTACTGATCTCCCTGAAGCTGAGGCAAGTGACAGGTGGAAATGTGTGCTAGTACACCTGCCTCGGCTCCTAAAACAGTGGCTGGCTGGCCTCTGTTTCCCTCTTGCTGTAGAAAGAAAAAAGTGCCGACAAGTCACAAGGACCCAGGACAGTGGTTTTCAGCCAGACGCTGCTAAACATCTAGAATTCTAGTTTTCAACCTGTCGACTCACTGGTTCCAGTCTCCTGCTTCTGAAGTTAGGCCCTGTTCTGAGTGCTCCTGTGCCTGCCTAGTGTGGATCTGCAGTTTTAATTCTGCATTTCCCGCTCCTCTACATTGGGCTTTTGTCTGCAGAAGGTCCTCGGAAGAGAAACAGGGAATCGCCACTGGCTGGTGAGTGACCATGGTCACGGCCGCCACCTGCTGGTCAAATCGGAGAGTTACACCTGTTGACCCCTGTTCTTGCTCAGAAATGTCTCAAGAGCATCTGAATGAAGCTTGTGGCGTCTGAGAGAGAGACTGGTGGCTTCAAATAAAGCCTTTAAATAAATTGGATGTGACAATATATAATAACAAAATAAACTATGTGTGCACATCTAATTTCCTTCTCTGAACAATATTAATTTCTCAGGGCTGTCATATAGCTTTGAATGCTAATAAATGCTTATTTTCTGTTTAAGAAAAGAGCAAATGAGAACCCTTTTTCCTTGGTGATAACATGTTTGGGACACTAGAGTATTCTAGGAACATTGTTCCAGAAATTCCAGTGTTAGGCTGTGCCACCTCTCTGCTGGAGAAACACCCTCCATTTCCCACATTTAGCAAAAAGGAGTATCTTTTCGTCTCTGCTCATTGTTCAGCTGTTGTTGCTGTGGCAACAATAACCATTTCACACATGTAAGTAACCGTTTCCCACGTGGAAGACGTCCTCCGATTCTAAGTTCAGGTAGAATGATGGCCTCATGCCCTGAGATTTGCTACAAACATTTCATAAACTCAAACTCAACCGCTGTCAAGTTGCGCTCTGCCTCGCAGTGACTTTCCACTGGGTTTCTGACGATGTCAACCTTAGTGAAAAGCTGCCCATCTTTACCCCGCAGAGCCACTGGTGGGTTTGAGTCAGTGGAGAACCTTGGCCTTTGGGTAAGCAACATAAGGTTGTGTCTGACCACTGCCAGAGCTCTTAAACATTGAATGTTGTTGTTAGGTGCCATTGAGTTGAGTATGATTCATAGCTACCTATGAACAACAGACCTAACCACTTCCTGACACACTCAAGCCCATTGCTGCAATTACTGTGTCAATCCACCTGCTTGAGGGTCCATCCTCGCACTTCCTGACACTCTCAACTCCATTGCTGCAATTACTGTGTCAATCCACCTGCTTGAGGGAGGGTCTTCCTTTCTTTTGCTTTCCCTCCACCCTTCCCAGCATCATGTCACTCTATCTTAGCCAGCCTCTCCTAGCAACATGCCCAAAGTGTGTGAGAAGAAGCTTTACCATGCTCGCCTCTGAGAAACACTCTGGCTGCAACTTCTCCAAGACATCACTGTTCTTTTTGCAGTGCATGGGATGTTCAGTGCTCTTCTCCAACACCACAGCTCAAAGGCATCAATTCTTCTGTCTTCCTTATTCACTGTCCAGCTCTCAGATGCACAGCAAGTGATTGAAAAGATCATACCTGAAACAGGTGCACCTTAGTCCTCAAACATCATTACTCCTTAATAAGTTGGAGAGGTTCCTTGCCACAGGCATCCCCAGTGTAATATGTCTCTGATATGCTGGCTGCTGGTAACAACTATATTGATTGTGGATTCAAGTAAGATTGTTGCCTTGATATTGAGATGCAATCCATATTGAAGTTTGCAATATTTGATCTTCTGCAGCAAGTGCTTCAAGTCTCCTCATGTTCAACAAGCAAGGTTGTGTCATTTGCATAACACAGGTTATTGATGAGTCTCCCTCCAATCCTGATGCCACATTCCTCTTCAGAGTCCAACTCCTTGAATAATTTGCTCAGTGTACAGACTGAGTAGGCATGGAGAGAATCCATCAACTAGAGAAACGTTAGATAGTGTTGCAGGAAACAAAACCACGATACCGATCTCGGGGACTGGAGCTGTCAGATGTAGTTTTCAAGGACAGCATTGTTCTGGGATCTTCCGCTCCCCCTGCCTGGCTCTTCTCTCACTCAGCCATCATCACGTGAGGCAAGCATTGCTGTGGAAGATCACTCCTTTTTCATTGCAATGGGTGTCATCTCTCTTCTTTTTCATTTTGTTATTGTCTACGGTTGATTTCAGAATGAACAGTGAGCCAAGATACTACATTTGTGCCAGAAGTCTCCTGCCTTGCTCTGAGTGTGACATACAGGTGCTAAAATGGAATAGCACAAAACTTTCCTGAGCCCTCTGGTGTTTTTCCAGGTGTCATTTAGGGAAGAGCAGAAATCCAGCTCTGCTGGTCTCCCCTTTGGTCTGCCCACAGCTGTGTAGGGGCTGCAGGACCTCCCAAGAGCCCAACTGGCTTCTGTGACGGCATGGGAAGCTTCTCAGGGCAGCATATTCTCAAACACAACGAGGGAAAATTTTTTTAATAGGTTAAAATTTTGTTAATAATATGCCTGGGATCCAGAAGAGATCCGTTTTCAAGTACTCTGTCTTTGCCCCAAGAAAGCAATTAACACGTTGCCACAAATGACGGCAAAATGTCTTTCTAAGCACAGTTATCAATTTAAAATTGTGCGGCAACCTGTTAACTATATTTCAAAAGGCTCTTGTGGTCGGTAGTATGTCATGTTAGACCGTAAACCAAAAGGTCAGCAGTTCAAATCCACCATTAGCTCCCTGGGGAGAAAGATGGGACAACTCCTCCTGTTAAGACCATTTAACCAGCAATTCCACTACCGTAATATACCCCAAAGAAACCATAACTGCCACCCAAGCAGATATATGCACACCCATGTTTATCGTGGCTTTGTTCACAATAGCAAAGAACTGGAAACAACCCAAGTGCCCATCAACAAATGAATGGATAGAAAAGCTGTGGTGTATTCACACAATGGAATACTATACTGCATTGAAAAACAAGGACCTCATGCAATATTATTCAAATTAGGTGACCCTGGAGAACATTATGCTGAGTGAAGTATCTCAGTCACAAAAGGACAAATACTGCATAATGCCACTTTCTAAAACAGGACTGACATCAGATTTGGGTGAAAACTAAGAAAAGAGGGATAAATAATATATAGTTCATTGAAACAGATGAGGGAGAGAACTGTTTAAAAGGGATATATGATTATTATTGTTATGACAGGAGTCCAGAAGGAAGGCTGTATAGTGAGGTGGACGTGGAGGGAGGGATTGTATAATAATGAAAGAATTTTTCTTTTACTTTTCAAAGAGAAGAGTGAACTGGGGGGAGGGGTGGGCAGGGAGAAAAGTGCAACAATGAATGAATGGAAACCTGTAAATTTCCATTAAAATTAATAATAATAATGGGGGGGGGGATTTACAGCCTCAGAAGCCCGAGGGAGGCGGAGACAGAACCGATTCAATGGCAAAGGGTTTGGTTTTGGATTTCAGCTTCAAACCTGTTAGAAAACTACATGAAGATCATCTCTCAGGCAATTTCTCCTTTTTATTTAGGAAGTTCCATGAAGAGTGTCTATTAAATTTTACTATATCCCATGGACTACCGAAAGAACAAACAAATCTGTCTTGAAGAAAGTGTAATCAGAGTGTTCCTTAGAGGCAAGGGGGAGGAAATCTCAGTTCACATACTTTGGGCAGGTCAGGGGGACCAGGCCTTGGAAAAAAGACATCACCATGGGTCAGAGAAAGAGAGGAGGACTCTCAAGATGGATCGGCCGGTGACTGGAACAGTGGGACTTGTAAACGCGTGGCAGAGGTCCTGAGAACGGTACAGGATGGCGCAAGGTTCAGATCAGCTGTTCTTAGATCACTATGACTCATAGTCCACTGGGCAGCATGCATGGAAAAGATCCCATGGGCATTCTAATAGAAACAAAACGGACTCCATCAGTATGTTGGAACTTTGGTCGAGATGAACTTCTTCAAAAAGGTAAAATTGATACTATGGATTCAATTTGTATGTCCCCAAAATATATGTTAAGTCCTGTGAATGTGACTCATTTGGAAGTTGTGTCTTGTTACCAAACTAAGTCAACATGGGATTGTATCTCATATCGGGTAGGTTCTGATCCGACCTGAGTGTGTCCTATAGAAGAGACAGAGGTAGAAGGGAGAGGTGAAGAGTTATGCTGCCATAACAGCATAATCTGGGGCTAACGACAGCAGGGACACAGACGGCAGGTCGTGCCCCAAAAATCATCATTGTTGTTGTTGTTAGGTGCCATGGAGTCAAGTACAACTCATTGCGACCCTATGAACAAAAGATCTGAACCCTGTTCTATCCTGCACCATCCTCACACTGCCTGACACACAAGAGCCCACTGCAGCAGTCATTGTGTCTTTCCACCTGGTTGAGGGTCTTCCTCTCCTTCACTGACCCTCCACCCTTTCCAGCATCATGTCCCTCTCCAAGAACAGCCCCTCCTAGCTGCATGCCCAAATATGCGCCGTGAAGCCTCATCATTCTTGCCTCCAAAGGGCACTCCAGCTGCACCATCTCTGAGACATATCTGTTCATTCTCTTGGCTGTCCATGGGATATTCAGTGCTCTTCTCCACACCACGGTTCAAAGGCACCAGTTCTTTTTTTTGACACCCTTATTCATTGTTTAGCTCTCAGATGCACAGCAAGTGATTGGAAAGACCAAGGCCCGAATCAGACGCCTTCGTGAATGATGAACTACTGCCAGAAGAGCCAACAAAGCTGACTTGGAAGCAATGCAGCCAGAATGTTCCCTCGAGGCAAGGATGGTGGCATTTCGTCTCACGTACGCTGGGCATGTGTCAGGAGGGACCAGGTCCAGAAGGCCGCCAGTTATGAGAGGGACAGAATAAGAAGAGGAAGACCTTCAGCAAGGCAGACTGACACGGCGGTTGCCGCAGCGGACTCCAGCCTGTGAGGAGGGCGCAGGATGTGGTGGGGTTCCGGTCTGCTGTGAAGAGGACTCGAAGCACCCAGGCTGTGCTGTGTTGCCAGAGCTGCCCTGGGAAAGGAAGACAGTCATTTGGATGCACACCTCTTTATTGCTGCTTTGTGCGCAACAGCAAAGAGTTGGAAACAACCCAAGTCCCCATCAACAAACGAATGGCTAGAGAGGCTGTGGTATATTCACACAATGGAATACTATGCTGCACTGAAAAACAAGGAACTCATGAAATATTATACAAAATGGGTGACCCTGGAGGACATTCTGCTGAATGAAATATCTCAGTCACAAAAGGACAAATACTGCATAGTGCCACCGTTCTAAAACAGGACTGACATCGGGTTTGGTGGAAACTAAGAAAAGAGGGGATAAATAATTTCCACAGCATTGAAACAGATGAGGGAGAGAACTGTTTAAAAGGGATATATGATTAGGTATTATTTGCATGACAAGAGTCCAGAATAAGAGCTGCATAGTAAAGCTGATTGGGGGCAGGTGGACTGTATAACAATGAAAGAATTTTTTTTTTCTTTTCAAAGCAAAAAGAGAACTGGGAGGAAGGGGTGGTCAGGGAGGAAAATGTGTAACAATAAATGAATGGAAATCCAAGTTCTCTATATTCTTTCCTTAAAATTAAAAATTTTTTAAAACCCCAAACAAAGCCCCAAGGCAGTCATCTGGAGTTAGCTGTCCTGCCTTCCTTAGCAACAGGACGACTCGCCTTCGTGTTCTGAACACTTGGTTCCCTCTCCAGCACAGACGCATCATGTGCTTTCCCGTCCAGAGCTAGGTTTGTTGTTTAGCAAAGATACTGGTGGAAAGATCGTTAAAGACAGCAAGGAGGGAAAGACATTCTCAGAGAGGTAAGAATGGGAGAAGCAGAAAGATGCTGAGCTGGGTCCATGCCCGTTTCCACGGTCTCTCCTCACATTGCTCAGGGCTACTCTTAGCTCCCTTTTCTCTTGCTGTGTTTGAGAACGCATGGGCCTGACGGGTTCTAGATCACTGCGTGTGAAACCTAGCGATTCGGAAAGTTCACATATTGCCGACTCATAGCTAGTGTGTGGGTGAAGGAGTCAAAATCCGAGTAGCGAGCACAGCTGATGTTTCTTCCGAGGCAACTCTGGAGTGACACTGGGGACACAGAAGTCTTTTGTTACTTAGTCCTACGACACAGTTAAGAATGTTTCGGTCCCACTGTGAGTCGAGCAGTACTCATTCTTGCGTCTTTGTGCTTCATTCTTGACAACTGCCAGTTTGTGAGTCGCACCTGAAATCAAGGGAGCTCGGCTGCTGGCCTCCGTGTCCCTTCCCCTGCTCCGTCAGCGGTCATCTCTTTGCTGTAGTTGGCACCAGCTTTGCTGAGTGGCAGAGTTAAAGGCTGATTGCTTTCATGGTCTTCTGGGCTCTGATTTGCAAAGGTGGAATCTGCTGCCTACAAAGGCTCAAAGTCTTGAGAGTTGTAAACTGTCCTCGGTCCCTTTTCTCCCGGAGTTTCAGGACGGACCCTCCAGATTTGTGAGAGATGCACCACCCACTCATCTGTATGAGGAACCAGGGGGGTCCTGTGCCAAAAGCACGGTGGCACTACAGGAGAGAACGTGCTTCAGTGTCAAGGAATATAATTTTTTTTCCTGTTTTTTCCTCTAGAATAAAGAAGACATTTACTTCATAGTCTTGAATAAACAAGAAGGTTCCAGTCTGGGTTTCAGCGTGGCCGGAGGTGCTGACGCAGAGCCCAGGTCGATCGTGGTAAGTGACCGTCCCTGTGTCCACAGCCTGAGGGTCTGCTCACAGCATGCCTTTCCAGGACTGCAGGGTTTTCTTCCCTAAAACCAGAAAAAGGGAAAAGTGGCACGTAGTATTTCCATTGATGAAACTCAGCATTGTCAACACCCAGCTGACGTGATCGATGGGCTCAGTGACCTAGATCCCAACCACACTGCCTTGTTGTTGTTGTTGTTGTCATCAAATTGCCTGTGACCCATAGTGGCTCTGTGTACAATAGCTCTAAATCCAGCCCTGTCCTGAGCCAGTCTCACCAGCTCTGACACACCTAATTCCACTGCCCCAGTGACTGTATCAATCCATCTCCTCTGGGGTCTTCCTCTCCTGCACTGTCCCTCGACCCTTCCAAGCATGATGTCATTCTCCAAGGACTAGTCCCTCCAGGCCACACTGCCCTAGTATGTGAGACAGAGCTTCAAAATCCTAGCCTCCAAAGAGAAACTTGGTTTCACCCTCTCCAAGACAGACTTATCTATTTTCTGGGCAGTCCATAGTATATTCAAGACTCTTGTCCAGCACCACAACTCAAAGGCATGGATTCTTTTTCTGTCATCCTTAGTTGTTGCACAGCTCTCTGATGAATAGCAAGTAATTGTGAAAACCATGGCCTGAATCAGTGCACCTTAGTCTCTACACTGATATCGTTGCTTCTCAGCACTCTGGAAAGGTCCCTAACAGCAGATTTTCCCAGAGCAATTAATCTTTTGATTTCCTTACTGCTTGGCCATACTTGTGTTTGCCTATAAAATTAGTTCTTTCTCAAGATGAACAGGAACTGAAAATTTTGGATCTCTCAGAGGCCTCTTAATTCACTGGGACTGACATGGGGCATTTTGAGTCAATTATATGATATATTACTCTGGAGACGAAAAGGTGAAGAAAAATGAAGTTGCTTTCATAGTTAAAAAAGTAATTTATGGATATGTCTTGAAATACAATATTGTGAGTGACAGGATAATATCCATACACATACAAGGAAGGCCAGTGAATACCACTATCATTCAGATATATGCACCAACAACCAGAGCCAAAAAAGAGGAAATAGAAGATTTCTACCAAGCTTTACAGTCAGAGATCTATCAAACATGCAATCAAGATGCATTGATAATAATGGGTGACTGGAATGCAAAAGTTGGGAACAGAGAAGGATCAGTCGTTGAAAAACATGGACTAGGTGACAGAAATGAAGCTGGAGATAGAATGATTAAATTTTGCACAATCAACGACTTACTCATTGCAAATACTTTTTATAACAAACGTAAACACATGCTATACACATGGATTTCACCTGATGGTATGCATAGGAATCAGATTGATTACACCTGTGGAAAGAACCGTTGGAGAAGCTTGGTTCACATAAGACACTAGTAAAAAGTTGGGTAACATACACAGTACGTATTAGCCACTAGCAAAAAGTTGGGTAACAAGTGTGTTCATATGCTGGCACTGACCTTTGCCATTCGACGCCCCAGTGTTTTCAATATACTAAGTGTTCTAGGATTTGGACATTTTATCTTGAGAAGCTCCTTTAATAGGGATGTGCAGCCCTCTGACAGTCATGAATGGCTTTTGTTTCCCTCCCACCCCATGTCCCAGGTCCACAGGGTGTTTTCTCAGGGGGCAGCTTCTCAGGAAGGGACCGTGAACCGAGGGGATATTCTCCTGGCAGTCAATGGCACTTCGCTGACCAGCCTCGCCCACAGGGACGTCCTGAAGCTTCTCCACCAGGCACAGCTGCACAGAGAGGCCCTCATTGTCATCAAGAAGCCCAGAGCCGCCCCGCGACTGGAGTCTCCCACGGCCAATGGCAAGGGCATGCTGTCCAGAAGGAGCCTCACCTTGGAGCCTGGAACTGGTAAGACAGGAGATGCAGCTGAACAGGAAGGCAAACAGCTGTTTGTTTCAGAGACGTTAAACCAAGTGAATGCCAGTTGTGTCGATGTGTATTAAAATAGCAGGGTTACACACAAGAACTACGTCCCATAAGTTAAAGTCACATGCTTGGGGTTTGAGAATGAGTGCTAGTTACCACCTTAAAATATCTTAAGGATTAGGGGAGCTCTGGTGGCCTAGTGGCAAGAAGCTGCACTGCAATCCCAGAGATAATGCAGTTTGAAACCACCAGATGCTCTGCTGGAGAAGGAGGGACAATCTCCTCCCGTACCAGTCATCTGATTTGATGGGACACGCACAATCAATCAATCAATCAATAAAATATTTTTTTTTAAATGTCTTAAGGATTAAAATCGTGTTCCCTGTTAGGAAGTAAGCAGCTGTGAGCAAAGCAGGTGACCCTTGTGATGGGGAGAGTCAGTGTTGAGGGAGAAATTCCAGAGCTGAGCTTTATCCTTGGAAAACGCAGATGCTTACATTCTCTCCTGTTTTAGGAGAGCATAGCAAATGTGAACTGTGGGGGTTTTTTTTTGTTTAAAAACAGAGGCTGAAGCCTTGGTAGCATCCCTTGAAGGTTGGAACTGTCTTCTCTGTGTCCTTCATACTCACAGCCCCAAGGCTAAGCCCTACTTCTATTTCTTTTTTTTTTTTTAATTAATTTTAATGAAAGCTTACAGAGACTTAGGGTTTCCATTCATTCATTGTACTTTTCTCCATGCCCATCCCTTCCTCCCCAGTTCGCTCTTCTCTTTGAAAAGTAAAAAAATTCTTTCACTGTTATACAATCCCACCCCTCCAGGTCCACTCCATTGTGCAGCCTGATTCTGGACTCCTGTCATGACAAAAATACCTAATCACATACCCCTTTTAAACAGTTTTCTCCCTCATCTGTTTCAATGCAGTATACATCATTTATCCCATCTTTCTCAGTCTCCCCCAACCCCGATGTCAGTCCTGTTTTAGAACAGTGGCCCCATGCAATAGTTGTCCTTTTGTGACTGAGATATTTCACTCAGCATAATGTCCTCCAGAGTCGCCCATTTTGTGTATTTCATGAGTTCCTTGTTTTTCAATGCTGCATAGTATTCCACTGTGTGAATATACCACAGCTTCCCTACCCATTTGTTTGTTGATGGGCCTACTTCTATTTCTGAAGCCCAGGCTGATAGGGCCTTCTGACCACTGTGGTGTCCCCTCTACTCAGTGTCAGCTCTCTAGTGAATAGAGTAGATGGATGTTCAAGTGGACAGGCCTGTTGTCTCTCCTTAATCCCTCTTTCTGATAAGAACTGTTGTTGTTGTTAGGTGCCATCACGTCAAATAGAACTCACAGTGACCCTGTGAATACAGCTCAACACTGCCCGATCCTGTGCCGTCTTCATCATCTCTGACACACTTGGGCTCATTGTTAGTTACTGTGTCAATCCTGAGTCAAGACTCCTGAGGGGCTTCCTCCCTACCCCGCCCGCCCCTCCACCTTCCCGATTATGATACTCTTTCCCAAGGACCAGCCCCTCCTAACAACACGCCCAAAGTATGTGAGAGGAAACATCACCATATTTGTCTCTAAGTAGAGAAGAGCAGAACCCCTCCTGTTCCGCTGGCTTCACTGGGCTTTTTTGTAGTGGCTTTACTGTCCACGGAACAAACAGGAAACACTTTTAGTCTCACGTTGTCAGGGGGCCCTCGGTCTTCCTCTGTTGTTGTCCCTTCCCACAATTAAAACAAACCGTAGTCACAGGTGCATAACATATAGCAATCACCTGTTATGCATCAGAGAGTTGGACAATAACCAAGGAGGATAGAAGGAGAACTGATGCCTTTGAGCTGTGGTGCTGGAGAAGAGTATTGAGAATACCATGGACTGCTAGGAGAACAAATAGATTTGTCCTGGAGAGTGTTAAACCGGGTGGCTCCTTGGAGGCAAGGATTCTGAGGCTCCATCTAACTTACTTCGGACATGTAGTGAGGAGAGACCGGTCCTTGGAGAGGGACATCATGCTTGGGAGGGTGGAGGGACGGCGCAGGAGAGGAAGGCCCTCTATGAGGTGGATTGATTCAGTGACTGGGATAATTGGGATGGGAGTGTCAGAGACAGTGCGATTGGCACAAGACAGAGCGGAGTTTAGGGCTGTTGTACATAGGGTCGCTATGAGTCGCAGGCGACTCGACGGCACATAACAACAACAACAACGTAGTCACAGGCACCGTCATGCTCACCTTTGCCCCAGTGAGTCTGTGCTGGTTGGTCATAGAGTCACTGTCATAAAGACACAGCCACGGGGCAGCATGTCATCCGGGAGCCCTGCAGGGACGCTGAGCTCAGGTGCTCTTGGAAGGGTGCTGCGGGGAGACTGGACTGGAGGGAGCCAAGGGGCACATGGTATGTGAGCTAACGCAGCTGGGGGAAAGGGAAGCAGACAGTCGTGCTCATTTCGGCCAATGCCTTTGCTGCAGGGAGAAGCATGGCTGCCCAGGACGCCCTGTGTGTAGAAGTGCTGAAGACCTCTGCCGGGCTGGGATTGAGTCTGGATGGCGGGAAGTCTTCCATGTCTGGAGATGGGCCTCTGTTCATTAAAAGGGTGTACAAAGGTAATGTTCTAGAACACTCAGTCAGCCATCACCCCTTTCCGTGTACCCTTCAGTGTGACACCAGCGCTGCCCATTTAGAAATCCAACGTGCTTACCATTTTCTTAATCTAGGATCATTCTCCATGGGATGCAGCGTTTAGTTTGTCACTCTTATTCTAAGCGCTGCACAGTTATTATGTTATCGACATGGCATAAGGAAAGCAAAGTCACAGGAAAATTGATAAAGTAGGGAAATTCAGCTCTCAGTAGCAGAATCCACTGTCATGAGAAAGAGCCACAAAACCAGTTTAAAAATAAAGACACAGATATTAGCTACTAAGTAAGACCGAGAATATTCAAAAGGAACAGGCAGATTTTTTAAAAATTAAAAATGAACAAAGATAATTTAAAAATAGACTCAACTTATATGCAAAGAGTTTATAAAAACTGAGATAGACCCTGGAGGACATTATGCTGAGTGAAATATCTCAGTCATAAAAAGACAAATACTGCATAATGCCACTGTTATAAAAGAGGACTGACAAAGGGGTTGGGGGGAGACTGAGAAAGAGGGGGTAAATTATGTACACTGCATTGACACAGATGAGGGAGAGAACTGTTTTTAAAACGGATATTTGATTAGGTATTATTGTCATAACAGGAGTGCAAAATGAAGGCAGCATAGTGGAGTGGACTTGGGGGAAGGGATTGTGTAACAGTGAAAGAATTTTTCTTTTACTTTTCAAAGAGAAGAGCGAACTAGGGGGAAAGGGTGGGCAGGGAGAAAAGTGCAACAATGAATGAATGGAAATCCAAAGTCTCTGTAAACTTTCATTAAAACTAATAATTAAAAAATTTAGATAGATCAGAAGGAACTGCAGAAATTTTAACACAGAGAAATAGAAGTACAAAGATACTGAGGAGTTAAAAATAAAAAAAAAAAAAAAACAACCACCAAAAAACACTACAGTGAGATAAGGGGAATGTCTCTAGAGATCAGGGCTCAACTTTCCAGAACTAAAAAAAAGAGAGAAGTACTCAAAACTGAAAAGACTGAGCAGTAGGTAGAACAGAAAGAACTTTAAAAATCTCAACATATCGCAATATCAGAATATAAAGGGTCATAAAAAAATCCAAAGACCTAATGAAAAAAATTCAGATTGCTATCACTACACCCAAATTAGGTCAATCCGTCCTAAGGAAAAATTTTGGTTTTGCTAAAAATCCACTTTACCAAACGTGATGCCCTTTTTTAGTGATGGATTGTTCCTGAGACGTGTCCAAAATGAACCGAAGTCTTAACATCTTGGCTTCAAAGAAGCCTTCCACTTGTATTTCTTCATTCTCCAGCAGTCCCTGATGTTGTTATTGTTGTTGTGTACCGAAGAGTCATAAACGACTCACTGCTGACCCCTCCTGCGGGTTTTTGGAGGCGGTAAGTCCAAGCAAGGAGACCATCCATCTATCTTTGAGTTTGCAGCCCACCCTACCCACGAGGTCACCAGAGCCCCTCAGCAGTCCACGGTCTATGTGCTACTTACTCACCACAATCCCATGTCATCAATCCTTCTGCTTTCCTTCATTCACAGGAGGTGCAGCTGAACAAGCTGGGACGATAGAAGCTGGTGACGAAATTCTTGCCATTAATGGCAAACCCCTGGTGGGGCTCATGCACTTCGACGCCTGGAATATCATGAAGTCTGTCCCGGAGGGTCCTGTGCAGTTAGTAATCAGAAAGCACAGAAACTCTTCCTGAAGCGAGCGCTGGGGCCTCAAACCTTTCTCAGTTCCCTTCTTCCTTCAGCAAATTAAAGTGACTTCTTTAAACAACAAGCTTCTGAAACAACCACAAAACATTGGTGTTGGCAAGAACTGGCACCGTCCACGCTGTGCCTCGTGCATAAAGTCACCTGTGAGCTGAGAAGTGACGCTCTGGAGGCTTCGTTCTGGCTCACGCGGCCGGGAAGGGTCATTGTCATTTGGGCTCCAGTGCCTGCCCCACGCCTTTTATGTTTGCTGATGGAGGTGCAAGATGTCATCTGCACTTCTTCATGTAACACATTTAACTAGACGGCTGTGTCCCTCTCCCCTCAGACCCAATCCTGGTGATTAGGGAGCTGAGGACACCTTATGTCTAACTCTGAGGACTATATTTACTATGGTTTTGTAAGTAGGTAACAGTGCTCTTAAGCACCTTCAATGCAAGGGCAGAAGCTGTAGATTTGTATGCATTATCCTGAAAGGGAAAGTAATTAATGACCAAACTGTGGGGAATAACGGGATTATTCAGGAGAGAGAGAAAGAAAAAAAGCCAAATAGAAAGAGTACTATTTTTTAGTGAGTGTGATGTGCAATGTATCAGTGCAGTGGGAGACTGCTGGTCGTGGTGACCATGAGCTAAGTCTTCCAGAATGACAATCGCACTACGTCCTGAGCACCCATGAATGTCCCTGCTCACAATGAGCAGAACCCCGAGTCTGAAAGCACCTTGTCCTCAGTCAGTGCGCAAACCCGACACTGGTCAACCCAGGAGGTGGCAGACCTATCAGTCCCTGCCTTGCCATTTCTGGGCTTTATACACCACCCACCAAGTAAGTCAAATGCCCGTTCCTTGACCGTGGATTTATGAACACAGATGCTCTGGTTCTGGATGGGTTTTTGTTGTGGTTTTTGTTTCTTTCCACTCCTTCTGTAACATACTTTAGGAATGCCATGTTTCTAGGAACTGGATCTCATCCAGCCTTGGATGCAATGACACAGTTCTGCAGTGACTGAAGTTTTTGCTGTTTTTACTTGTTTTTGTGAAATGTCCTCTTTTTGCCAATGTCATTCTCCTGCAGCCGTCAACCGTGACTCGTGTGGCTCGTGGCACGTCCATGGCACGTCCTGGCTAGGGCTCTTTCCAGAACACAGACCTTACAGAGTCATGCCCATCCGACAGGCCTGGAGTCGGCACAGACCGACTCTTCCCTCCTAACTCACTCCACCTTCTTTCCTTTGACAAGCTCCAAGTCTTCAGCAGCTCCAGGTACCAAAATGTAGTAACAAGATGAAGGACGATGGAGAACAGGGTCAGAATTGCTACACAGTGCCCTCACCAGGCCCTGGAGGCCCAGGCTCACCGACGGCATCCGGGGGACACGGGGAGAGGGTGCATTCGTCATGCCCGCACATACAATGACACTAAGGTTTTATGTTAGGGTTTCTTCAGCCCACAGTTTAGAGAACTCAGAGGCCATGTACTCCTGGCTCCTGGAGGTTGCCTCTTGTCAATGGCCAACCCCAAAGGACTGAGTGCAGGGGCCCATGGCGTCCGCCCAGAGACGTTCTTCGGGAGCACATGAAATCACTCGCTTCTCTAAGCCAGGGTTCTCATTTAGGTAACACGAAGAGAATGCAATACTCGGACTTAGTTAGAGAGATGTGTTCATTTAGCTTCTCCGTTTCCACTACAGTTAACAGGTAGGATACTATAGGAAGTCAGTGCAGTGCAAGGTGCATGCTAGATTTGTTTCTTTTAAGTCTCGGGTCAGTTTCTGCTTTCTTGCCTAAAGGATGTATTGAAGTCAACACTGAAAAACCGTTCTTTACCTCCACACTTCTACAGCTGTGCCTACCTATTAAAACATGCACAGTGGTGTGAGCAGATAGAAGCTTCTAGAGCAGTGTGGAGCAATGGCCTCTCTTCTGAAGGTCTCTAATCCACACAGAGTACAGAGGATAGGACCAGGCTAGTCCTCTTCCTTCTGGAACTCTTTTAAAAACCATCAGCCAATTCAATTAGATCTTTCCAGAACGGCTGGCACATGAAATTTAAGGGGTGAAGCAAAAGCTGTAACTGTCCTTGACCTTAAACAGAAAGCTATTTCTTTGTCTTCAGTGTTCAAGGCATGACTAGTATTCTGATTAGTCTAATAAACTCCCACACTTCCTGAAGTGAACACTAATGGTTTTGTCCCACTAAAATTTGGTGTTTTGGTTTGACTGGTCATTCACAATAAGCTATGAGGGTAAATATGTGTTCTAACATGTAAACCGTAGTTGCAAGAATATAACGTGAAGGTTTAAATAGGTTGGTTTCGTTTTCATTCTTTCATCCACATCTCATGTGATTTTATGGCTGATTTAATTGGCACCACAAGTGTTGTATGATAGTATACATTATCTTTATTTATGTAAAATGAAATGCCTTATATATTATTAAAGAGTAAGTGCAATAATATGAAATAGCCTGTACATTTTTAAAATGTTGTCACCAAGTTATGTAAATCCACATCTCTGTAAACAGTCTTTTTTAAGTAATTTTAAAGAAATAAACACTCTGCTTAGTACTTGTTTCATTTTTGTATCTCTCAATCACTTTTTAACAGGTTACGTTAAGAAATATTTGTTATGTGCTGTCCTTGCAACTCATAGCGACCCTATGTAGCACAGCTCTGAACCCTGCTCTATCCTGAGCCAATCTTATCATTTCTTGACAAACCTACCCGTTATCCCAGTCACTGAGTCAATCCATCTCATCGACGGTCTTCCTCTCTTGTGCTGTCCCTCCACCCTTCTAAGCATGAGAGATCTCCCCCTCCAAGGATTGGTCCCCCATTGTAACATGTCCAAAGTATGTCAGACGAAGCTTTGGAATCCTTGCCTCTAAGGAGGAGCCTGGTTTCATCCTTTCTAGGATGAACCTGTTTATTCTGTTACCTAAACAAGTAGGAACACAGATGTACTAAAATTCAAGTCAACTTGCTCTTTTAGGTGACCACATTCAGGGTCTTGACATCATTGAAAACCCCCAAACATTCCACTCTTTAAGTCTAACTTTCTTACCTTCTAAATCTTACTCTTCTTTCTCATCAATACTTCTGCCTTCCTGCATCCTATGATCCTATCCCTTTTCCACAACCACACAGTCTGATACACTTTAAAATTATAAAATCCTAGTGAAATAGAGAGGTTCTAAATGTTCATACTCCCCAGTGCAAGCCAGAGATGCAACACCATGCCTATCGAAGTGCCAACATCCTTCACAGAAACGCTACATGAATTGTGACGAAGCCCCACATCATGAAAGCAAACTTAAACAGGAAAAACAAAGACTCACATGTCACGATTTCAAAACATACCATGCAGTCAGAGAAGGGGAGAGAGAGAGAGAGGGATAAATGCAGGAAAGAAAATATGATTTGCACATGAGCACAAAAAAGACCATTTCAAAGCTATTAAAATAATAGACAATATTATTAAGGAAACTTTATATTCACAACATTAAATTTAAAAAACTTAACCTTCTCAAAGACTGGTAAGACCTAAAGAAAATGATGACATTCTGTAAGGAACATAAAAAATAACTTGAAATAAGATACATTTTTGGTCAGGATGACTCTGTAATTCCAAAAATCTCAACTCTCCCCAAAACAATAGAAGTCCAGTCACAATCTCAAAATAACTTTAACCTCACAAAAAGGTTCTACAGTATATCTGGTATGATAAACATGTAAGAAAAGCCGAATTCTGGAAAAGCAGGTCAATAAGTGAGGGACTGTTGTTAGTTGCTGTTGTTGTTGTTAGGTGTCGGTGAGTGTAGTGTGACTCACAGCGACCCTGTGTACAACAGTTCTGAATCCTATGCCATCCTCACAATCTCTGACACACCTGGGCCCATTGCTGTAGTCACTGGGCCACCAATCAACTCATCTCATTGAGGGTCTTCATCTCTCTGTCACTCCACCTTCTCAAGGGGGAGCTCTGGTGGCCTGGTGGTAAGAAGCTGCACTGCAATCCCAAAGGCACTAAGTTCAAATCCACTAGCTGCTCTGTGGGAGAAGGGTGGGCAATCTCCTGTGCAATTAACTGCCTCTGAAAACCTGCTGGAAGGTCAGCTGTGGGTCCGTTCCAACTTAACAGCACTAAACAGCCAACACCACCTTCCCAAGCATGATGGACCCAAAGTATGGGAGGCCAAGTTTATTCATCTTTGCCTCCAAGGACCACTCTGGCTGCACCTTCTGCAAAGCATATTTGTTTGTTCTTCTGGCTGGCAATGAGATAGTACTCTTCACCAGTACCTCAGTTTAAAAACATCAATTCTTCTGTCATCTTTATTTACTGTCTCACTCTCAGAGCATAGCATGTGACTGAAAAGACCATGGGCCTGAATAAGGCACACCTTAGTCTTCAAACTAACATCATTGCTAATCAATAATTTGTAGAGGTCCCTCACTACAGACTGTTATGTGCCATAGAGTTGCCTGCGATTCATAGTGACTCTCTGTACAGCAGCTCTGAACCCGGCCCTGTCCTGAGCTTGTCTCACTCATTCTGACACACCAACCCCCATTGCCCCAGCTACTTTATCAATCCACCTCATCCAGGGTCTTCCTCTCCCACACTGTCCCTCCACCCTTCCAAGCATGATGTCTTTCTCCAAGGATCAGTCTCTCCTGGCCACATGCCCAAAGTATGTGGGAAG